AGAGAGAGAGAGAGAGAGAGAGAGAGAGAGAGAGAGAGAGAGAGAGAGAGAGAGAGAGAGAGAGAGAGAGAAGAAGACTGATGCGTTTTGGACCAAAGCTCAACCGTGCAGTGACGTATGGACTCTACACCAGCCCCCCATCCTGGCACTCATCTTCACTATGAGACTGTCCGCCATGCCACTTGCCACCCCCTGCTCAGAGATCTGAATTGCCAGGAAGCAGAGAGGGGCCATTACAGCTGCCTATGCCATTCCTTCCGGTGTAGATGGCAGTTTGTCTAGTTTATCATCCACCAGCCAGTGACTAGATGTTATGGCACCCTCCATTTTTGACAGCCCCAGTGCCGTGAGGACTTCACATGTGCACAGTGTATTAAACCTCCAGAGAGAGGAGGAGGAGGAGGAGGAGGACGGCGACAGCAACAAGGGGAAAGAGGAGGGAGGACAAGGAGGCGAAGGAGGAGGAGGAGGAGGAGGGGGAGGAGGAGGAGTCGTAGGGGAAGGATAAGAAGACGAAGACGAGAAGAAGAAGATCATCTTTGGTGGAAAGACCACTTTTCTCTCCCTCTCTCTCTCATGCTCTCCCTCGCTTCCTCACACACATGCACACAATCATACTGTAGATAACCTTTCTTTTTTTTTTTTTTTTTAAATACAGCTGCCTTCTCCTCATATGGGGGCCAGTTGTATATGTATTTTTTTCCTACCCTATTATCTTCTCTCAATGTGTCTCACCCTAATAAGTATTTTCTTATGTTGTTGACTTTGTGTGCTATGTGGCCCTTTCCCATGTTCTTCCCCGTGTCCAAGTCGAGCACCTTCCAGATGTGCCAAACAGTCAGTGTTGCCTGTTTAAGTGCCTGCGACAGTATTAGACGGGCTGCTGTGTTCAGGATGCCTGTGGGTCTCTCTGTCTCCTTGTGGTGACAAACTTCCATCAAAGTGACTCTTTGATCTCGGCATGAACCTACAGTCTGTAGAGTTCTACATGTGTTGTAGGTAAGCGGTAGTCCACTTCAGTCTGTGCTGTCTGTGCGGTCTGCCCCACGTGTGCTGTGCTTGCTGCTTGCCTTGCTGCCCCTGTTTGCTAGACTCGCATTGCCTTGCTGCCCCTGCTGCTTGCCTGCCTGCTTGCCTCCCTTGCCCCATTGTGCATCTGCCCGCTTGCTTCGTTAACTACCTGCGTGCTTTGCTGCCTGCCTTCGGGTGGAAGGCCTCGCTGAAACTTGGCTTGGTGCTTTTTTGTTTGTCTCTGTGAACACACCCGCGCCCACCTGCCTGCCCTCCACTTTACTGCTGCTTTTGCTGTCACCTGCCTGGCTGCCCACTCACAACAAAATTTGAAGTAGACTATGACTCCTTTTTTTTTTTTTTTTTTAAGTTACCCCTTGCGATATCCCTCTATCCTGGAGGTGGTAGAAGAACCGTCAGAATTGAAGGCTTAGACTATGACTCAAAGCTGCAATAAGAGGATTCTGTAGGCCGTCGACTCAGAGCAGTCACCCTCCTGACGAGTGGGTGAGATTCGGCCGACACAGTCGGTGATTGACCCCTTATGTCTTTGTTTGTTTTTCAGTTATTCAATGCCATGCTTATGATGTGTAGTCTCTGTGCTTGGGAGCTTTGGAATGGATGGTGAATTCCCCCTGGGTCTTTTTTATGCCCAATAGCACACTGTGCTTGGGAGATTGGAATGCATCTTTGATTCTTTGAAGGTTTGTGTTGAATCCTACCCTGAGTAAAGCTATAAGTCGTTGTGAACCTTGGTCACTGGAGGTATGCTGCACACATCATCGCACACACA